GTGTGGATGTGTCCGGAATGGATCCCCTGCAAGTTACAAGGAACGACTGTAATAGTTTTATAGTACTGTATTTTAACTGTTGGTTTTATGTGTTTTCTTTTTTCATTGTGTTTTGTATTTTAACATGTCGTACCCTACCTTGAGCTTTAATAATAATAATATTAATAAGGTGTGCCATATAGGATCTTGGCTGGTGAGGTTAAATGAGATGCAAGTGGGTCTCACTTGAAGCCTGGATAAAACATGCAAATAATTTTTGGAATGTGTGCTAGAAAGGTATGTTCTGATAAGCCTCAGCCAAGTGGAGGGAATGTGTTTGAGAAGAAAAACGTTTCCTTTCCACAAGACGGTCTTTCTTCCAGCCTCACAGTGTAGCACCCGATCAGGAGGGTGAAATGAGAAGTTGATCTGCTCTTGCCCAACATTCACATTCCAATCTCAGAAGAAATGTTTCCCCATCCAGTGAAGTTTGCTTCTTTCAGATCCAAAAGTAATTGGGGTGAGGAGGGAGAGCCAAGGTCTCTTGGCACCCAAGTTGGCCAAAGTATGGGAAATCCTTAATTCTTAAACCTTGGGCTTTTATTATAATAAAGAGGAAATGAAACACACTATATAAATATTATTATCTAAATACAGCTTCTCTAAGGAGAAAAGCATGTATCTATACGCAGAGAGAGAGACATTCACTTAATGCTTTTACAGAAAATGAATACTAGATATACACATAGGTTGCAATCCTATATACAGTATTAATCACTATGGATGCATGATGTATCTGCTTATATAAACAGGGGCATGCATTGAGATCTGTAGAAAAGGCCTTTGTCACAGTCCCACCATCCTTGCAGGGGCAACTGGTAAGGACTTGGAGGACAGCCTTCTCCATGGCTGCACAGAGGCTGTGGAACTCCCTTCCACAGGAGGTCCAGTTGGTTCCTTCCCTTCTGTCTTTCCGCCAGCAGGTGAAGACATTTTTATTTAGGCATAGTTTATTTTAACTATGGAGTTGCAGTGTGTGAAGTGGTGTGCTCTGTGTGTGTATGTGTGTATACACTCACACACGCATATATATGATGTCATCCAGCCCAACTCCATTCTGTCATGCAGTAAATACACAATCAAAGCATCTCTAATAGATGGCCATCCAGCCTCTGTTTAAAAACCTCCAAAGGAGGAGACTCCACTACTCTCCGAGGCAACGTCTTCCTCTGTCAAACAGCTCTTAGCATCAGGAAGTTCTTCTTAATGTTGAGGTGGAATCTCTTTTCCCATAGTTTGCATCCATTGCTTCAGGTCCTATCCTCTGGATCTGCAGAAAACAAACTTGCTTCATCTTCAGTATGACATCCTTTCAAATATTTAAACAGGGCAATCATAATACCTCTTAACCTTCTCTTCTCCAGGCTAAATATACCCAGCTCCCTAAGCCGCTCCTCATAGGGCTTAGTGGTCTCCAGACTCTTCACCATTTTGGTTCCCCTCCTTTGGACACGCTCCAGCTTGTCAACATCCTTTTTGAATTATGGTGGGCACAGTATTCCTGGTCAGCATTTCTCATGTAAGCTTCTCTTAGAGGCATTGTCTCCCTTTGTGCTGCTTCTGTTCCTGTAGACATGCTGCAGAGGATGGGGATATCTCCTTGGTGTCCCCCGAGGCAGGGACCTATTTTCCAGAGGTCCCTCATTTGCCACTATCAGCTCAGATTCAGGCAGGGAGCCATCATCTGAAGCTACATGCCTTTCAAGGTCTGACTCCTCTGCATTGGATTCCATAGAGTGAGTTATGACCAGAAGGGAGTCACAAGAGCTTCCCAATTCCAAGGGCTGGGCTGGGAGCTAGAAGGCCTGGTTGATCAGGTTTGTTGCTGTTGTGTGACTTCAAGTCATTTCTGACTTATGGCGACCCTATCATGGGGTCTTCTTGTAGGGTAATTTAAGGGGCTATGCAGACAGGCAGCTCTGGGCCGCCCCTGCAATCGGCGGATTGGGGCCGCGGCAACTGCACGCCACGGCCCCGATCCTCCCTTTTGCCACCCCTAAAAGAGTGGCAAAATGCTGCTTCTTTTAGGCCGGTCTGCAACACCCCTAAGTTTACTAAGGGTTCAGCCTTTAGTAAGGAAACAAAAATATTGAAATATCAAAAATGTCAAAGCCAAGCCTGTTAGAGTCTAGCTTTAAATCAGCAGAGTAACAGAAATGTGCCTTTCTCTAACTATGGGGGGATGCAGATGGGTGGCTGTGGGCCGCCCTGAGAAGCAGAAGATTAGGGCCGAGGCTGCCCCATGCCTTGGCCCCAATCTACCCTTTCAGCAACTGAGAAAGGAGCGCCAAAATAGTGCTCCTTTCCCAAGCTGCAGAAAGGGTGCCGCAAGAGCAGCCACACAGCTCCTTTGCACCTCTTCCAGCGCAGCGTGTAAAAATGCTGCACCAGGAGGACGTCATCAGAGCGCTCGCTGTGTGCAAACGCGCATGCTCTGATGACATCCTCGGGAAGAGATTGGGGCGTCTGCCGTCCAGCTACCCCTCCCCTTCCCTGGCTCCAAGATGGCGCTTTGCAC